CATGACAGAAACACGAAAGAACTATCGCCGTTGAGTCCAGTACAAACCGTTGTCTTCGGGATCATAACGACAAGGATTGGGATAACTGTGGCAAGGTGCTAGACCAAGTGGCTCCGAGGTCATACTTAGTTCAAACTGAAAATGGACATGTATACCGCAGAAATCGCAGACATATTTTGCAATCAAAAGAACAATTTACACCATATGAACAATATGATTGTCAAAATAATGATAATGTTGATCATTCTAGTCATATTCCATGTGATAATGAAAATACTCAATCACTTAGTCAGGATATGTCTATTTGTACCAAACATGTACCAACACAAAATATGTCAGGGACCACAAGGTCTGGTAGGTCAGTTAAGAAACCACAGAGATTAATTAAAGAAATTTAATTTGCTTGTTTGTGGGTCAGATCAGTACCATGAAAATGGGGTATGAGAGTAAGGACTTAAACATCTATGTCAGTTGTTGTAAATTTTGGATAAGTTGTACTGTATGTTTTTTATATTTGAAATGCTAGTTAGTTGCATTACACAGACAATTTCTTAGTTTCATTTTGACATAGTTTCAGAACAAAACAGAACTGTTAATGTACCAGGTTCCATTACATTGTTACATATCAAATCCTAATTTTCAACAGAATCTAATGTATTAACCTAAGAATAGTTTATGCAAGGTTTAACATTTTTTGCTATCTTATGAAATTTATTGTAGCTCTTAACTCAATTTTAAAAGAGGGAAGATGTATCATTTATATGTTTTGAATTGACCCCTTTTGTGTATTACATCATCAATTATGTGAAGGAACACAGAATTAAAAGCATGGAACCGACGCCATTCTTATGTTGTTTCTACAGGCTAACAAAAGCCTTATAGGACTACTTTAACCATAACACAACAGATATATTCAGATTTAATAATATCACGCTTATTCAATTCTAATTTTCATATTTACAAGCTTCAATAATTGCTTGATCTAAGTTGCAAGTACCGCAAACCTGCGTGTCAATCCTCTATAACGTCATCTCAGTAAGTACAGCTAGATCAACGTGGCTTTTATTCTACACTCAACGAGTGGTATAATGGCAAGAAAAGCTACATATTGATTAATGTTTACAATATTTATGCAAAATGACTGTATATAAGAGTGTAACAAATGAACGCAGTACAGTTAAGGCAACATATGAAAAAAATATGGTAATGAAGTCATAAGGAGGTCTGACGTCATGACAGTTGCTCCGCCCTGATTGATCCATATAAGGAAATGGTGCTCAAATTAACTATTTACCGATATTTGCAAGACTTTGTAATAAACATCAATATCTTCATGTTTAAATAGAAAATAATTAGTGATTTTCTCGTATATAAAACTGCACGTTTTTAAAATAATCCTCTTTTTAATGTGTCGTTTGTCTGCATTCAGCTTCAGCCAAGCGCTTGCACTCGGTGACACGGAATGTTGTTTACATCTAAAAACGTGGGGAATCAGCTGAGATTTGCAGTGGATTTTTATGCAATAACCAAACAATCGTTAGAGAAAATAGGGATAAAATAAGCGACAAGGCATTGCTTCTCCCTTTTACCAGGACATGAGGACATTATTTCGGAAAATAGCAGAAAACCGAGACGATTTGAACCAGCTCAGCTCCGTAGATCCATTTCTGCACCAGGCCAGGTATGTAAACAGGTATACATGTACGCATATGTAGGTACATGTGTAGATCTACAGTACAATATTTAGACATGCTTTTGTTGACATAAAAAACCCCGAGTGTGTTCGTGTTCATTTAAATGTATTATCACAGTCAGTGAAGAACTGCATGTAATGCAGTGCCTTGTGTATACCCCCCCCCCCTTATATCCTACTAAGTCATACACTTTCTAGAATTATAGAAAAATGAATTGCACTAAATATGTACTGATCATGCATGAGTTCCTGACTATTAGCTCATTTTCTTTGAGACAATATGTATACATGTAATAATGGAGGTCACCAGTAACACAAATTTAAACTAAATTAAATGAGATGTTTTCATTGTTTCAATCAATGATTCACTTGTGATTAGGCCTAAACATTAATTAGACATACAAATATGCTACACAATTTAACTGTTTCAGAAAAAAAAATATCAGAATCATTCTGTTGAAAACATAGAACCCCAACTTCAGATTTATGGTTGCAATTTTCTAGAATTTCTATATTAATGAAAAAATATTCATTTTTTGCTTAGATTACATGTACACTAAAAATATTGATATAATGCTTTAATTTATCATTGTAGCTGTCAGGAGTCTCAGGCTTAAAGAATGAATATTTAAAAAAAAAATGCATCATTTCTCCACAGGGTATGTATACATTGTACTTCTAAAGCATTTCACATTTTTAAAGTATGCATGTGCTATACATTTTGTTTGTGTTTATTTTAGTAAAGGAGAAACTTAGAATTTTTATTAAGAAAATATTCTATCAATATCTATTGTAAATGTCAGAGGTTTCACTTTCCCAGAAAGTTTTGTAACACAATTTTTTTTTCATTTATATGAATGACATCAGTTCACTACAGTATACAATGTAGCATATTAAATTTGTATTGTCAGATGTAATGCAATTTTATTCTACAATGGTTGTATATTTAGTAATCTCATAGCATTTAACTGCATATATATGTGTTGTAGGCCCAGCTATTCCCAAATGTTGGACTAATGGATTCATTCAGGCAGCAAGTTAATCCATCATTTAAGGAAAATGGTATGCTCAATATTAGTTATAAATCATACAAGGTTTTGATAATAAAAATAACAGAAGCATTGAAAACATATATATGCATTCTATGTTAAATGTTTCAATGCATTTTTTAATTTCATTTATTTTTAAAATACAGTACAAATTACTTTCAATAATGGTATTTTCTGATTTTCTTATATTTTCAGTTTATCCACAAGAACATGAAGTGAAGGAAATAATTTACACCTGTCCAACATTCATACAGTCTGTCATTGGATTTGAAAAGAAATGTTTATTAAATAAATTTTGTAGATAAATAATAATTTGACTTTTTCATATATTTACCGTACAGGTGTTGAAAAGGCCATTATGATTTGAAAATCTTAACTTGTGTACGGTTTGTGTGGAGGGTACAAAATGTCCATGGCATCAAGATCTCATTTCCAGCATGTGCATTGTGTTCATGTATTTTTCAATAATATTACAAAAAAAACAGGAGTCTAGAGGTCCCCCTAATTGATTCAAAATAGGAAAGGGGGCACCATTTGATTCTGAGGGAAGGGGGTGAGGGGAGTTGGCGAGTTTTTCTAAGTCAGGTTTTTTTTTCCTTTTCATGTCTATGAAGGACAGATTAATATTTATTTCCGATCAAGATGAAGGATAGATTATTTATTTATTTTCCTTTTCATTGAAAAGTCCGACTAACAAGCCAAAAAAATGTATACATATAAAAAAAGCTCTGATTCGTGGGAGGGGAATATCACTAATCTGCGAGTACATTGTATTTATTTTTAAAATCTGCCAGCCCTCATGCACCCTCAAAATAAAATGGCTTTCCCCCTAACAATAAAATCCGAGTATACCCTAATCCTTTCTAATTAGTTCCTAAAACGTATAACTTAGATTAAATCCCTTAATTAACAGTAAGCGGTCTAATTGAAAGCGATCGTAGAACATGATCTCGAATGCAGAAAGGGAAAAAAAAATTAACACAAGTGTGTGTACCATAGGCGTCGGAAGCAAAATGAAGGGGGGGGGGGGGGCTAAACCAAAAGAAGACGGTAAATTCAAATGCATACATTATGTACCCCCCCCCCCCCGTTCCGACGCCTATGAATACAGTAGTGAGAGAGGAGTATAGATATCTAATTAATTATTAATGGAGGCTATATTTTAATTAACCATTTGTGTTCTGCATAAATATATCGGCAATATATTTAGACCTATGTGTGTGTAATACTAGATCTACATCTTTGAGGAAAAGCAGGAGGATTGAAAGCCATTAAATGTATACAGTGTATGGAGAACGAGTACATAGAATAGAAAGAAATGTCAAGAATTTTATGCATACCGTTTTGATTTTAAATTAGTAAAAAGGAGTCCAGCCCTGTCGGCATGTATATTTATTTAAAATTTACGAGGTAAACAAACTATATCAAGTACTCAAGAGTTATCTCCCATGCTGGGTCATTGATGCGTTTGAAAACTAGAATAAGATTGACTCTTCCAAGATTTCAATTTTTAATCAAAAAGTGCAAGGGCAAGGCGACAATCTAAAAAGTAGGTTTTTATTTTAAATTATTTATTTTATTCTATAGTTTTCGAAAAGTGATGCTCATTTCTTTGTAATCCTTTAGTTAATTAATAATTCGCGATGAAATTAAGAAATTACCCTATTTTTTTCATGCATTACTGTCTGTTTTAGCTAAATAACGTAATTTTATCGGAAAACTAACTGAATGAGCATCACTTTTGACAAAGTATAGATATATAGTGACAACATAAAACATCGTGCAGTTAATTTTTTGCTTGCCTTGCCCTTGCACTTTTTGGTTAAATTTAACATCTTATTTTTTACCTAAAATCGAAGCCCACGTGACTTCAGGGGGTCACATGATGTCAAAAAATACCGATGGGAAAAACAATGGACATACTTTTCAAGATAACAAATAGCTATTTAATTAGAGTGCCTTGTCCAAATATAAAACTGATAAACATTATATGTATCGAATTCCGTGAATTTTTATAGAAAATGTGTACTGCGAAGTATTTATTCGCCGAATTTCACTTGTGCAGTTTAACTGTGACGTCATAATCGATTTTTCAAAACTGTGCATAGGCTGATCTCCAATTTCAAAGTCCTTAGCCTAGCTGCAGAATTATTAACACATTGGGAAGACTAAGATATATTTTAAGTTAGTATTTGAAAAAAGACATGATATATATAATGAAAAGGAAAGAAATAAAATGTTTCCGTATTAAAGTATACCTCCATAGGTCCATCCAGAGAACACACTTCCATCTTGATCGCACAATGCCTTATCCACCTTTTGGTCAAGTCGTTTAGAGGCGTCCACCACCACAACATAGAAAGCTCTCCTGGTCAGGTAAATCTGATGATAAGCATAGTACGCACACTGTCCTCCGAAGTCAAAAAACGTCAGAGTCTTTGCTTCAACATGTGTAACATTGTTTTTTACATTTTCGTTGTCTTTTTGTTGTGAGGTTACTGAAAATTTTAGCATGAGATCTTTAATCAGAATGAACCAAACTCCGCCTTTGTGATTAACCGGGTCTTTAATAAGAAAAAAAAACCCCGGAATATAATGAAATTGTGAAAATGATGCATACAGTACATGTAGTGGGCATTTATTATCAGGATATTTCAATGTAAGATGTATTCTAAATTCCAGATCAAATATACTTGTATAACAAATATGTTCATTTATGAACATCGTAATCGAATTGGGATTATTGATATAAATCTGAAAAAAAAATGGAAAAAAGTTATCAAACTTCGTCGTCTTACATGCAATATAATATTATGTTTATATAGAAGGTTTTTTGTCTTGATTTTGTTTTAATTTTGAGGCAGAGAAAGTAATTCTTTTACAGTGAAAAATGCATTTCATTTTAAAAATGACTATTACTTACAGATATTTTATAATTTATTTATATTAGTATAAAACCTTTGTTTTATGCAATTTAAAACAAAATATCGACAGAATGTTTTTAATTAATTTTAGCATGTTTTCAGCGTACAAATTTGACATGCTTAACATCAATGTACCTATTTAAATAACGTTTTTGCAAGGGCATATGCTTAATATGTCTTAACAATTTTTGAATATAAATAAAGGATATTTTCCTTGACTTGAAAATGTCTGCTGCTTTCTTTAAATAGTGAATGAAAGAGGACACGAAATACTTGATAAAGGTCAAGTATATTTGAACAATAGCCCTATAACTTGAAATTTTAACGAATAAAATGCCAGTTCTATTGAAAGCAGCAGCACTTTCCAAAAAGTTAATAGAATGCAGAAATTATTTAGGACGGATGATACAAATATTTTTTTTTCTTGAAAAAGATTTAATATCATGTCACAAATTTAGAAATGTGGATGGTTCTTAGAATTTTTTTTCTCATAAGAACTGGAATATGAAAAAGACTTGGAAAATATTAGTAATACATGTATTTAAAGAAAAAAAACAAATATAGACAAATCATATTCAGTAAAGGTTTGCAGGTGAAAAGAAATTACAGAATATGTTAACATGGTGCTAAAAGTGTAATATAAACTTTAGAGAAATATACCAAGCCAGGTGAATTTTAAGAGGAAGACAAAAAATAGCACTTAGGCTGATTTTTACCATTTAGCTTTTCTTAATAAAATTCACCTGGCTAAAAAAAGCTAACAGAACAACAATACCCGAAGTTTGATAATGTATTTGAGAGGAAAACATCTGTTTTGCCTAAAAAAAAAGTGCCTTATGACTTCCATTTGATAATAGTGCAAATTTAAAACCAAGTTTGCCGCAGCTCTGTTATTTTTCAGATTGAATGAAAAACCAAGAATGAGTACAGTTGTAAGTATGTCATTTATTAATGACACAAATGAAACACAAGAAATTCCAATGACTTTCTACAATTTGTATCTACACCTTGTTATGGATCTCCCAAAAAATAAAATAACATCTTGACAATACTCAAAAACATCAAATATCAAACATTTAACAGCCTGTCTCTGAGAAAAGCATGCAAAATCTGGAAAATTGTCCAAAAGGGTTGCATAGAGCTTAACACCTTGTCATGTATTTTTTAAGATCTGGGTTGTATTAGGATATAAAAAAATGTAAAAGTGTGTCACATGTATCTACTGTATTTTTAGTAACAACCCAGTTTCTATATTAAGCTATATCTGCAGTCTATACTGAAGCCACATGCTAGGCGAATTTGGAACTTCAGAATTTTTATGGATATTTAATACAGTGATACGATGGAGGGGATGATATAATTTGATCAAATAAAGTTCTAATAATAATCGATTTAAGTTTTATCAAATATAAAAAAAATCACCCTTGGCTATTCAGTGCAGATATATTTTATAAATAAATTCATTTGATGAGCAATAAATATATTTTAGACTGAATTCATATTTAGAAAGTCTATAAAAGTTTAAAAGTTGATAAAACTAAAGATTTCTCCAAAAATGATAAGAAAAAAATAAGATGACAAGAATGAGTAAGTGTGTATACATTGTGAGAGTTACATGTATCTCCCGTTGTGGAAGTCTTCAGTGAAAAAGGCGGATATGGCATTCCAGTGTGACTGGGTCGCCAAGAGGACAATGCTGCTGCCTGCTATGAAATTTAGGTTTTGGAAACCTTTCGTGTCGTGTATGTCATGTATTTTATTTGTATGACTGTATCAGGGATCCAACACATTGTTTGCGCTTCTTAAAAGCTCCGACTGAGACGCTATAGTATCAGGCTAAATGGGAAAAAGTTACGGACCGACTGGAGGTTTAATTGTGAAAAGTGGATTTTTTTCTCATGACCATGTATACGATGGTATATTTAAAATTATGAATCTATCCAAGACATACGGATAACGTGGGGGTAAACAAGGTTAAAATGGCGAAGAAGAATAACAAGCTTCTGCTATTTGAAGGAGATGAATAAATGAAGGATCTGACCATGTTGACAGGTAGGCCAAATATCTGATCTCTACTTCATGCGATAGGAGTTGCATATTTAAGATTTTTTTTGGTCATGAAATTACAGGCACGTAGCATCGTTTTTGAAAGTGGGGGGGCCAACCTGAGAAAATTTTTTTTACTTACCTAAAAAAAGTTGACAAGCAAAAAAAAAAAAAAAAAACGAAAATTACACGAACTATTTCCCATTTCGTGGGGGGGGGGGGGGTAGTGGCCAACTTTTTCAGGGCAAAGTTCCTCTCACTTCCAATTTTTTCCTATATTTTCTGGCTATGTATATACTGTGGCAACAAGTGGGGGGGCCAACCATCTTTTAATAGACATTTTCTATAGTAAAGGTAATGTTGGGGAAAAGTGGGGGGGAGGCAGCCCCCCCCCCCCCTGGCCCCCCCTGATACTACGTGCCTGAATTATATAATATATACTAATGTTACACTTTTATTTAGATTAAAACCTTTATGCTCAGTAAGATTAAAATGAAGTATTAAAGTGTTTCAGCAAAAGAAAGACTTCCGTACATGTACAAGCAAATTAGAAGTACTAGTATTTAAGAAATCAATAATGTACAGAACAACAATCGTTCTTAAAAAAAAAATAGGGCATCGAAGTTGCAGCTCCTACTGCTTTCAATATCTACAGTGAGCTATATAGAGAAACAATGTTCTAACTAGGAACAGTCATATTTATTGTTTGATATGACACTTAAGCATCATGGAAAATATGCCAGCAGAGCTATTGCTATTCATAACGCCATGTTCACTGAGTAATTGTTGTTTATGCATTCTTTGATGTTGTCAAGAATATCAGAGGAGATCCTGGCTTACATTAGGATGTGGCTTGTTGTCTTCAGTCAAGAAAAACACAAGGCTATAAAACTAGTATACCTGATCCAGGCGCGTAGCATCGATTTTGAGAGTGGGGGGCCAACCTGACATTTTTTTTTATTTACCTGAAAAAGTTGACAAGCAAAAAAAAAAAAAAGGAAAATTACCCGTTGCCCAAAGTCGAAAATCCTATTTCGTGGGGGGGGGGGGGGGCTAACTTTTTTTCAAGTCCAACTATCTTTCAATTCAAAGTTTTTGGCCTATATTTTCTTCATGACACTAAAATGTGGTGGGGGGGGGGGCAACCTTCCTTTCAGTAAACATTTTCTATAGTAAGGTAATGTGTCGAGAGAAAAAGTGGCTGCCCCCCCCTCCGCCCCCCTGATACTACGCTCCTGTGATCACATAAATTTATTATAATTATATACAGATCAAGTCTAAGTGTAAATGTGAAATATTTACCCTTTAATTTTTCACTTTGTCAAGAATGAAATAGTTATTATGCTCCCCTTCGAAGAAGGGGGGCATTATAGCCACATACAAAAAGTTAATTTAGAATTATTATTTTATTTCCCTTCATTTGCAATAAGTGTTTTTGTCGAAGTCATTCCATGGCACTATTAAGATCTACCAGATGGCTTGACTATCACATTATTGTTAATTCCTTTGAAGTTTAATGTGTTAATCCCTTAAGTCAATTAAGTTGCCTAATTATCTATACCTGAGGCGCGACAGGTGTGACAACAACTATCACTCTACCAGTACATGTCACCTACTTTTTCATTGACAAGAACATTTGAGTTAATCATATCAATTATTTAGATAATCTCAAAAGAACAAGTCTAATTGTTACTGCGTGACCGAGTGTTGTAAGGTGCACTACTTATTCCGGGTGGACCTCTACCTTCCCAAACGGCCGGTCACAGCATATTGCTTTTATAATTCCAATATGGGGAGGGGGGCATTAGCGTTTTACAAAACATCTCTTATTTCTTATGTTTTTGTAGTTCAAAAACTCACAATTCATTCATTAGATATGAGACAAAATAATTTCAATCAATCAAAAGTTGACAACTGCTTTTTTTTAAGAAAAATAATATACAAAATATATGATATGCAACTTGTCAATATGTTATGTTCATATGTTGAAACCTTTAATGGAATAAAAGGAGATACCAAACACTACAATTCACAATTCATTAATAGGATATGAGACAAAATACTTTCAAGCAATCAAAAGTTGACAACTGCTTTGATAGAAAAAAATATTATACATGTATAGGATATGTAATTTTTTTCAATTTTTATGTTCAATTCTAGAAACCTTTAATGAAATATAAGGAAATATCAAACACTACAATTCACAATTCATTAATAGGATATGAGACAAAATGCTTTCAAGCAATCAAAAGTGACAACTGCTTTAAGAAAAAAAATTATTATATAGGATATGCAATTTTATTGATATTTTATATTCACATGTTGAAACTTTTAATGAAATTTAAGGAGATATCAAACACTATATTCCAGCCTCAAAATTCCAATAAACAATAAAAAAATTGCGTAGAACAAACATGGACCTCCAAAAAATGATAGATGGTATCATGTAATTATTTTTCTTTTTTCTTCCTGAGGAATTTTTGTCACAGTGTCACATCTAACTTTGGTCTGATTTCTGACATTCTTCTACAAATTTTAGACAGAAACCAGGTACATGTACTTTCATCCCTTTTTTGTCAGAAAATATGAAGTAGAAAGTGGTGCAAATGAATACAGTTGCACCAGTTTTACCTGCCGGGTTATATTATATTTAAAAAAATGTTTTCAACATACATGGTATCACATTTTTTTTTCATTCTTGGTCTCTCCAATGACATTTATTTAATTTTTCAAGATAAATCTTTATCATAGAGTAAGATATAATGGTAAGAGCAATCTGACTATGGCCGTCCTATTGACTGTTTCACCTTTGACCTTCACTTATGATTTATGTAATAATAAACTCTATATTCTTAAAATCAGTGTTGATGACATCAATCATTTTTTTACGTAGACCTTTCCAATGACCTAACTTCACTTTTCCTCCATTTAGCAGTTACATATGAATGTACAAAAAATTATTCTTCCTGTCATCACATTTAACTGATATGTACTCATAAAAGGAAGACATATTTCTTTTCATTTCATGGTGCATTTTGTTTCAGGCAATGCAGTTTTTCCAAGATAGCAGGAACAATGGAGCAGAACTAAAAAGTCATTTCAATAAAACCATGATCTGATTGATCAAGTGAAAGTTGATACCAGTTGTGAAAGTTGTCGAAACACTACAGCAAGCAATGATAGTAGTAAACATCAATTTATGTATCACATGTACTTATTTATTTAAATGAAATCCGTGTATATTTGTAGATGCCTTCTTAGCAAAATTCTCTTTACACAACAATACCCAAGTTACTTGATGTACACATATGACGTCATCGATGGAAGCTTTTAATTAAAATGACAGTCACAGCATTACAAAATGAAAACATTTTATTTTGTTAATGTTTTCACGTCTCTAATCATTTTTGTAGCGTTAAATCCAATCTCTAAATACCATTATTATGAAAACTTTCTAAAATTGACGTCATCTCGCCTATACTATGACGCCATAATGTAGCACTGATTTAGGCAAGGTAGAATATATTGTTTTCTTCCTGATTACCCCCAAGTTCTTCCTTAGAAAGAAAAAAATGAGTATAAGTTGGATTACCATCTGTAGAATTAAATCTCTTCTTCTAAAATGCTATTTATATAATGAAACTTACAATCAAAGACAACATTTTTACCTGCTTTGTAATTCTAATAAGCAGGGACCAGTACGTACTGATCATGTATCTAATTCTTTTTTCACTTCTGGATTATTGAATACAGAAGAATAGATAATTTTCATATTGAGCCTCAATATTTGAATACGTGATTTAAATATGGACCTTATACATCTGTCCCATAGTCTGTTGTAATCTTTAAAAGAATCAATAATATTGATGAAATTCCGACTCATGTTGAAGAATCGGGGTTCCCTATATTTAGGACCTTTTAAATAATTGATCTAAGGTTCAATTATTTACTATTTTCGTAAGCTGTGATAACGTGTCCAGCAGGACTATATTTATATGGCAAAGAAGAACATGAACACAATGAAGGATTATATTTCAACTACTTAATATCAAGGCCATAAAAAGTTTTTCGTAATCAAAAAGTTTGAATACATATAAATATATATTTGTAGGATATACAAATTGTCTGGTAGTCTTAATATAACTTATATATTAATACTTATATCAACAGCGTCAATCCCTTTATTTCATACGCATATTAATTATATATTATTTTTGTCATCTCCCTCGGGAGATGACACATTAAGATTGTATGCCGGAAGTAAAGTCCTAGTGTAAGCCTCCATTAACTTTTCGGGAATCCTCGATGTTTTACAATATCTCAAGTGAGAATCTACACAAGGAGTTCCAAGTAGCCTGTAAATTGGTTTTCTTTTAGAAGAACTAGCTTAGAAGTGTGTGATCTACTTTCGTTTTAGGCCTATTTGCCTTGAAAGCCAAAGAAAATTAAGAAAAGAAGTACGATGCTTATAAATATCTAAAGTTTTGGTGTGTCGTATATATATATTGATCCTCAATACTATGCCTTGTTAAATTGGTAAGCCACACAAGAAGAACTGACAATGACGTGATTTCAATATATAGATTTGTAGTAGTATCCATAGTTAAATCACTGCGTGGTACCCTACCCCTCATTTTTCTTAAGTAGGCACAGGTGGCTTCTTTTGAAAGGTTTAAATACTTAAGCTACGTGGGTAGGGAATAATCTCTGGACTGCTCTTGCTTATGTTAATATACCTGTCATCTTAGTTTTCTGTTTGCTGAATAAGTCATTCGGGAACTTCAGGTATAATTATCCATATATTCAATGCATTAAAATATTTCCCTTTCTGTTTTATTTCTTTGACATAATTGATACCAAAGAGATGACATTTCAGGCTTTCTGGAAAGCCAAACTTGTTATCATTTCATATTATATTGGTTTCAGATATCTCTTCAGGAATAACATTACAGAGCTAGACAGATTACGGGGAAATACCAGAACATGACGGGAAAATTATTGTATAAATTGTGGAATTAAAATTTGTGAAATTATTTTGTTCAGGTTCCTTTTTTTCACTTTATATTCAGGTAAATCTTAGGTAAACAGTATATAAATATACGTACTCGCGATCGATACTTATCAAAATTGTTGAAGATCAATTTTGCTTATTCGGAGGTTTATGAAATCATAGAGTTATATTTAATTGTTATTTATATATTATATTACTTTGTATATGTACTCAATTCCAATTTATGAATAATTATCTTGAGTGCAAGAGAACGTTTTTTCTGGACAGCAAAACAAACTAGCCCTAGAGATGATTTGTGATGTATATAGGAATTTCTTTAATACATATACTTTTCAGGGAGAAAAGTTTTTTTTGTTCTTACAATGTATAAATATGTTGTAGTGTATTCGGTTAAATGATTTACTGTGGTGCAACCATTCCTATAGAGCTTTCTGAAATAAACACAGTAAACTTCAAAGGGAGGTACATGTAATAATAATCATTTGCAAAAGGCGTTGATATCGTTAGACAGAGATTGATCTAAAGTTGAAAGATTACAAACACATACAGTAATCCTCTCCCTTAAGATCAAGCAAAAAAAAAAAAATCAAGTTAAATTCAACTGAATAATTAAAATAGATTCTATGAGAACTAGCAATAATTTTATGGCAGAACAAACTTTTAAGAATCGCAGCAATAGCCCTTAACAGCTGAAAGAGTGAATTAAAAATAAAATATCTTTCCATAATAGACAAACTGTAATATATGCAAATGTTTACATTCAGACATAGCCAGAAAGGATTATGTTATAGCAGAAGTTGAAGAATGCCACAATTTTATACTCATTTTTCACTTCCCACAATTTCAAAACCGAAAAAGGTGACTTTTCTTGATAGTTCTACCTTGATGAACAAACACGGTGCCCAAAATCATTTCTATTAACCTAAACATTTTTAATTTCACATACATGGTTCATAGTGTGAGAAAAAAACTATGAGTGGAAAATTATCAAGTTCTGAGAACCTTCATACATCGCCATTTGCATAACTTTAACACGGACCTGTACTTAAATCAAACATTCAATGCGCATATTTTATCTAATCTTATGTTAAAACACTTTCAAATAAGCTATTAGATGCATGTAAGGTTCCAAAAAATGTCTGAATGAAAATAATTTTTTAAATTATAAGATTCAAATCAACGTAATATAAGATACCTTTTAATGATTTTGTTTTGTCACATAATTCAAATACTTCCTCATGCACCTCCAATCCCTCAGTTGATTTTACTTCCTTAATAACTTCTTCACTAAAACCAAGCAGACGTTTAAGTAGCGTTGCTTTTCCTGCCCCAGCACATCCTACAATCATCCCCCGGGCGTGGTGAACTGTCTGTGTTCCTCCTTTAGCGTGTAACTCCACATATCGTTCTCGGGCGTTTTGTTCCCATTTTAGAATTTCGGTTGGGACTCCCACTGTACCATGTGAAAAAATAAATAATAAAAAATAAATATAACAAACGTAAATGTTTTTAACTTCAGTTAAGGAAATCAAGTTGAATTAGTGTACAGTGTAAGCCTCTCCCCACTTTTTTTGGGGGGTGGGGGTGGGGGGGGGGTGGGGGTTGGAACTTCTTAGGATCTCTGCTGTTGTGCAAGTGATGGAGTTACTTATTTGAGAATGCATTTCGGATAAAATTATCAACACAGCTAGGTTAAGGTCACCCACAGGAAATATTAATATTCATGCCTGAAAATATATTCCGAAAAAAATGAAAATAATGTTGACATTTTATATGAGAATAAGCTTTAATTTATTGGGAATCGTACTAATGCAATTGTATGTATGGGGTCTCAACCGAGTTTTCAAAAGTGATTTCGAATACACCAGGTGTTTGTCACAAAACATACTTAAAATTGGAGAAAATATATGTACTGATACAAAGATCTTTAAAGCTCAACGATAAAATAATATTTTGTAACTATGAAAATGATGAATGATAAATTGTATTTCCTGACAAGGTCATTAATTGGCCATGGAACTTACAAAATGATGACTTTAAATGAGACTGCAGAGATTCTTACTTCATCAACTTGCTTGTCAATAATTTACCTAGCTCTTTTTAAAAATTGTTCGTACGTAGAACATGTCCTTGTGTATCGAATCAACTTAGATATATAAACTCCGTATGGAGGTGGTGAAGGTATATTGCTGCATAGGTAAGGGATGCTGACGATTAAAAAATTCAACTCGTCACGTTTATCATATAAATTGGTTGTTAGGTTACCATTGAAGTCTTTTTCAAAGAAAACATCCAAATATGAAACAAATTTGTCTGCGGTATCTTTTTCTCAAGCTGTCCCGGATATGTTGTATCGACGTAGGAATGGAAATTACCATTGTCAATTGACACTACGCCGTCGATATACCTGAAGTTCGAGTTGAAGTTGTATATTATTGAGAATCTGTTTGTTGATAGCAGTTTAAACTACAATGAGAAGCGCATTGAAGTGGTAAAATTTTCTGTTTGGATGGAACGTTTTGAGCTACCTTTAGACACGCCAATTTCTTTAGAAAGGAAAAATCGTTCAAATGATGTAATCGAATACCTGTAGAATAGGTTTTTTCATAAATATAACATCCAACGAAATTGATGGTCTACATAAACGACGATTAAGCACGTGTTCGACTGATACATGTGCTATGCTAATTCCAAAAAGCATGATAAAATCATGATTATGCAAAATTTCGTTGCAATGCGTGTTTTACATAAGCGGGAACTATGTACATAGCTCTTTCTTATTCTAAAATTCCTCATTTTAGTGTAACTCATGTTGCTTGTCGCGGAAAGTGTTGTGTCCTAAAACATTACAAATATGTCTTTCTCGTTTCTAAAGAAATGGGCGTGTCGTTATGTTATAATTGACGTTCAAAACTTGACTCAGAACGTATTGTCCAAAACACTACTGGACGAAAAAAGTGCTGAGAATCCCAAATGTTACTGATAATGTTTGATAATTACTGATACGGTGCTGTTCTTGCTGATAAATACTGATATTTACTGTTATAATTACTGTAGTTGCTGATAATTTTAGTTGTTTCTGATAAATACTGATAATTACTGTTGCCTTTTACTGTTGAGTCTGATAAATACTGATAAGTACTGTCGCTGCTGAGAATTACTGATAATTACTGTTGATGTGCTGTCGATGCTGAGATTTACAGATAATTACTGTGGTCATTGTTTTTAACCTAGTAATTGGTTTAAAATAAAACAGAGGGCTATAAAAACCTTAAATTATTACTTTCTTTTACTTGAATTATCATGACAAAATTTTCATATTTCTTTAAATGTTCTGCTTGTGACAAAATTACATGTATTATGCTAATCTCAATTTCTACATTAAGTTTGTGAACATTTTGACAATAATCAAATGAATTATTAATAGAATGAATATATAGAAATAGAATTAATAAAAAAATAATAACTGCAGCAAAAAAATGGAATTTTACTTTTGCATAAGATCTTATTGATAATAAACTGTAAAAAAAAAAAAAAAAAAAAAAAAAAAAGAGAAAAGAAAATTATGCTATCTTAAAAAAGATCCACCGCCGCCTTTCCCGAGTCCAAGAAATTTATGTAGGGAGATCAGTGATCTTTTTTTATCAATAATAAGAAAAAAGTTCTTAATTGATGGAAAAAAAATCAGGATAAAAATGTTTCCTGCAGGTTAGAAAAGTTGGATTCGTACCTTTTTCACTAGGTCAACTGGTCAGGTTTGGACAACATTTTCTTTTTGAAGGCCTTTTTTCTCGAAAACAATTTTTATCTTGTTAAATGTTGTTTTCTGGTCTCATTTCGGGAAATATTTGAAAATTTGCTCGAAAATTAGAAATTTTATCCCTTTTAAAAAGTAACAAAGAGATGAAAACAGGGTCGAATATGTTCAATCTGTGAGCACTGATTTTAATTAATTATTTATTTATTTATTCATTTATTTTAATGTTATAGACGTTTGTAGATCGTCCAAGAATTAAACTCCTCCACATGTACATATGTACATGTACAAGTTCACACTGCATGCATGTGCAACCGGCAAATGGGGCGAGCTGATAAAAAATTAGAGGTTAAGAATCCCTAGAGCAAAGGTACATGTGTTTAGTTTTTCTCTTAAAATTTCAATACAAAATACATTTTTTATTAAATTATTTTTGAAATCTCATTAATTTTTTTTAATTTGATTTTATGGAATGGGAAATAAGAACTGAAATGAGACTTAATTTTATATGTTACTATAAGTATATGATCAAATTGATCGATTTTAATTTTGTATGGTAAAAAGTTTTAAGGAAACACCTTTAAATTGATTTCAATTGATCAGAAATCGGTGATCGACCTGTGATTTGGCTGTATTGTGTACATGTCTTCAGCCCCGGGGTAGATCGGGGTACAACTTGTATATTCCATGCAAATTGTAGTGGTCAGCGTAACAATGGGCACTAATTACTAAGTACATCTTGTACATTGTACAGATTTATTTTAATTATTAATTCACAAAGATCTATCTTAAAGTTTCTTCAGTATTAAATTTCATTTTTTAGTTTTACGCATATTTCTTCAATCAATCATTCATTTATTTGAATCTTTTTACCATTTTACAATAGTATGCAGAGACCACAAAACATATAAAATGTAGGTGATTTTATACATAACAGTAGGTCTAAAAGGCATGGGTGAATAAGAAACTAAACAAAAAAAAATTGTAGGTTGCTATAAATGCGAAGTAAAGGAATTTAGGCTGGGGAGTATATATTTCGTTTATCAGAAAAAAGAATATCCCGGGGGAGGTGGTCACATTTTTTTTCAATTCTGAATTTCTGTTAACGATGGTTTGGGACCGGTAAATACAGTCGAGAAATTGACTTCACTTTTTGATTTAAAAAAACGTGTGCAAAATATCAGTACAATCATATAAATATAAAGAGAAAGATGGTTTAGTGAAAGCACTTTTTTGAAATAATATTAGCATTAATTGTTCACAATTCAGATGCAGGGAAACTCCACTTCGCTTAATCCGAGAAAAAAAAACAACCCTGAAATGTATGGATTTTGAATGTCAGAAACATGACGTTGTTTATCGCACTCATGAATAAATGTTAATTACTTCAGTTCTAAATTTAGTATTGTTCATTGCAATTGATTCTCTAAAATATTATTATTCATGCATTTAAAAAAATCGATAAGTATAATTTCATAACTTGCATGACTTATAAAACACACAACTAAAGAACAGACCTTGCCCTATCGGCTATCACTTACATGTAAACAGTATTTAACCCCCACCTTCCTTTTTGTGCTTGTGTCAAGTAAAATCATTTAAATAAGCACCCAGTCTGTACTATTCATTTATACAAGGTCTCGGACAAAAATGGAATTTAAAGTAGGTCTATACTCGCACTATGTCATTTACGAATAGTAAAACCGGAACCGCGCTTCCTTTTTCCGAGATGAGATTTTTTAACTACATTGGTTTGACTTTTACTTAGCGTTTTAAATATCCGGTAACGATTTTGCTTGAAGTCGGTCGCGTCAACAAACACAGATTCTACAGTTTAAGGATAAATAAATTAAAAAGAGAAGGCTGGGAACAACTTTCGGTTGACAGAAATAATTAGGTAATAAAACGATATTTCTGTGAATGATGCATGTTTTATATGCCGCACCGAAAACACAGACCATATACATGCTACATGAGAACATGTATCAAACTATCGAGGCGATTATTGTCGGCTGCCAGGTTGAATCTAATAGTTATAATTCGGAAGAAAAGTAATGACTACGATTTGAATTTGACAATTTATGGATTTTACTAATCAATCATTACAAAATTTAATTTGAATAATAATTATTGCATAAAACGCATACCCCCCTCCCCCAACCTGCTTACCCACGAATCCCATATGCAAAATTATCTTTTGAATAAGTGTTTGACAAAAGTTGATTCACTTGCAGCACACTTCTTTACTTTCTGTAGCAAAATCATCCAGTTTCTGAGAATCATTGAATTACTTTCATTTCATCGTCTCAATTTAAAGACAAGTGTGTTTTATTTTTTTTTTATTTTTGAGTAAAATAAGATAAATTTTAGGGACAATAGGTTTTGGGTTTGTATAATTATTGTTTTAAATTATGTACAACTTTGTTAATACAAGTATACACTCAAACATTAACAGTATTACAGAAATATGTGGCAATATATTACTTCTGAAAGAAAGAAAATAGGGGGTCCCTTTAGTGTAGAGCTCATACCACGAAAAGTAATGTGTCAACATATATACATATATATATATTTTTTTTAAGCTTATTATTTTTCTTAAGTATAATTTAGCAAAAAAAAAATGCAAATTTACGAAGTTTGAGTCCATAATTTTTTTTTAAATGACCGAGATTGTCCTGTGAAGCATATTTTCTCAC